TCTGGTGTAGGTCGTTACCGCTAAGGTACCAGACCGTACCAGACCGTACCACATCTGCTACCAGAGAGTAGGTAAGGTAGGGCAGCAGATGTATGCCAAAGTGGTGTCTACTGTCCATCCATCACCAGGGGCCAACTCCCTCTAGGAAAGAGGATTGGAAAAAGCGCCGGAATTCGGATGTGTCTTCTGCATAGATGCAGAAGAACAGATTAATGGCGATGTCCTGGACCTCTCCACAGGCGTTTAATCCAATTCCCTTTGCTGGCGGGACTCGGGCCCAGGATCTTTGTGTCCTGTTTTCTTCAGTTCATTTCCCTCCTGCTCGTACTCACCGCATGTCAGGAGTGTGAACCCATTCTCATCGTTCTCTTCCGGCTTGTTGTCGGCTTATGCGTCACAACCGGTTTGCGGCTCAGAGGTCTCTTCCCGCTTGTTGTTGGAGATGATTGCAGCTTCTTATGTGTCACACCAGGTTTGCCACTCCCTGCCGCCCTCCTCTTCACCGATGACAATGCGCTTCCCTTACCTTTCCTCCTTCCCAACACTCGCAAAGGGATCCCACTTAGTCCGAAATCTTCTCTGCAACCACCCACACCCAAATTTCCAACAAAACTGTAAATACTAAGTACACTTGAGGGCTTCTCAGCCATTCATTTGTTGCTCATTTGCCCCTTCTATCTATCAAAAGTTAAAGCAAAATTAGCAAACAGTACCAAACACACATCTAATTATGAATTTTCAATTTTCCAATCACTTTCGGAAAAAAAAAAAAAAAAAAAAAAAAAAAAAAAAAGTTCCAGGGGATATGGGGATATGGTGTGTTAGCAAACCCATTATGCCGCGGCGACTCCCGTCTCCATTGTTGGGCTTGGATCACCGGAGTGGAGACATGTGGTTTGTGCGCCTGTTTGTACTCCCCTCTTACCGAGTACTGCCAGATTGGCGTGGGTTCCCAACTTCCCGCCCTTTCCACTCCCATTTTTCTAGGTCGGATGCGAGCGCACCCACCGAGTAAGCATTTCGTAGGCAAAGTAGCCAGTGTCGTCGTCCCCCACCACCCCATCTAGTTTCGGGTCCCTTTTCAGGGATGCCCAGCGCGCCCCTGGCACATTTGGTTCATATGCCTGGAGGTACGCTTCTTGTCCTGTGCAGTGGGCCGCCCTGAAGATGGGCATGGGGATGGGGTTCCCGGTGCTCTGCATTACCTAATCCAGACCGCAGATCGTAGGTCCCTCTCTTGTAGGGCGGCCAGCGCCGGCCACACACGGAAGCGGGACCGCCCTGTGGATGAGGTCCAGCTTATCCTGACTTTTTCTGCTGTATTCAGGTTCAGCTGCAGCTGCTGTGTGGGCTTCCATGCGCCTCTTTGATTATCCCAGAGGTCCCCAACACGGAAGAGGCCATAATTTCCAACTCCCCTTTTAACCTCATTGTGGTAAAGAAACACAAAATTATAAAGACTCGCGAAATTGAGTTAAGAAAAATAGAACAAAAACTTGAAGCACAGAGAGCAGGCTACTGCCGCAAAATGTGCACTAAACTTTTCGGGGGAAAAAGGAATCTACGAAACTGAAAATAAACAAACCATGCTTAACGGGACATCCGTTAAAATCAGAACGA